GGGGGCCGGCGCAGGCACCGGAGGGTCAGCGCTGCACTGTCAGATGTCTCGCAAGTGGGTGCAAAAGGGAGGGCGGCCAACAGCGGAAGAGGACGGGAGAGAGGAGAGCGCTCTCTGCACCGTGCTGGAGCTAATCATTCTCCCTCAAGCAGCAAGTCACTGGGAATAACCATTGTTTTCATCGATCTCACGTGTTAGCTAACAGCAGGACTGTTTTGCGCGTCTTACGTGACAACGAGTGACACTTGACAAACAACAGAAGCTGTGCCCAGGCCGTGACGCAGCTTGCGGAGACAGGAGGAGGAGGAGGGCTGGGTGGGGGTTACGGTAAACCGACCTGCTCCCGTGTTCGCAGCCCGGAGCAGACCCACGGAGGCAGGTGGAGGCTTCCTGGAAACGGCCTCCACAAACTTCTGAACGTCCCGGGCAGACTTGCGCATCGCGGCCATGGCGTCTCGCAGCTATCGGTGGAGGGAAGACGACAGAGCAGAAAGGTGGGGGTATTGAAAACAGAACGCGAGACCCCTCCCATCCCGTCCCGGCCCGGCCCCGAGCACACCACAGAACAAACCCTGGCAGTGACCTTTCGCAAAATTTCGCGCCCTCGCAGCAGTCCCTCGGCCTACCCAACAACACTCAGCCTTCCACAGCCAAGCATTCTGTTGACAAACTGAATTTGACACGGAAACAGACCCTTCGGCCCAACCCGTCCATGCCGACCCAGATAACCTAAATTACTCCAGTCCCATTTGCCAGCATTTGCCCCATAAACCCTTCTTGTTCATGTCCCCATCCAGATGCCTTTTAAATGTTGTAACTGTACCAGCTTCCACCAGTTCCTCTGGCAGCTCGTTCCATACACGCACCACCCTCTGCGGGGAAAAGTTGCCCCTCAGGTCCCTCTTAAATCTTTCCCCTCTAGTTTTGGACTCCCCCCCACACCTTGGCTATTCCCCCTATCCATACCCCTCACGGTTTTATAAACCTCGATAAGGTCACCCCCTCTGCCTCAATCCTTTTCGGGGTTGGCAGGAAGAGGCCTACGTTGCCAAGACCTATTCCTCTTTCACTCATCAGGACCTGTGCAAGAATGCCAAATTTCACACGGTCACGTCAATTTAGGAACAAAGATGCTGATTGGCCATCCGCCCCTGGGCTTGGCGGGGAGCTTTTCTGTGCTGGTACTGCATGCTGTTGAGACCAGGTGAAACTCGGCATTCTCGCTTTCATCCTGATAGATTCCTCGCGCCTATCAGTACCTTTTACAAGTGCTGCTTCAGGGGGCGATGAGCCCCCTCTTGCGACCTGCATGACCATGCCGCTTCACTGGCTTGGCAGCGGGGCAGGGAGGGCCATCGGCCAGGCCGGGCGCTCCAAGGGGATTGTGGGAGAAGCAGCGTTGCCGGGATAAACTCACCAGGGATGGCTCACGGGTGATCTTGCCCAGGGCGGTCACGGTCGACGTGGTGGATGCTGGTGGCGCGGCTCGTCCCGTTTCCGCTGTCAAAGAGAGAGAGTTTGTTAGGTCGGTAAATGGCACCAAGCGCCAGCTTTGTTAGGAAATAAACACCAAAGGCGGAGGTCGGCACAGCTTCGGGATCCCGGCGACCATGACGGAAAAAAGATTCACGTTCATTTTTAGAAAAGCAGAGGTTGGCTTAGATCACAAGCAGTTTTCCCGGCAGCACCTCCCAAACCCCCCCTGCACTCCCCACCCCTGGCCCCC